ATCATACCATTTTCCCAACATCTTGATAGCACACGCTTGAATGAAATTTCTCAGAACAAAGACGCTGGAGATGTTTCCAGAAATCGAAAGCAGTGACAGCGACACATTCGACTGGAATGCAAAACAAATGGGAGCTCAAAAAAGAAACTCGACTCTTTCTACAGGCAAGTTTATTTTCCCATAGAAAGCTTTGTAGAAGAGACTTGTTCGGAGCAGGTAGTCATCTAGAAGAGGGAGGGAGGGACATGGGAAAATTTCGAAAAACTAGGCTCCTTTTTGAACTTTAGTATATCTCGCTTTCTACTTTTTGTCACCTGATCAACTTAGATGAAGCTCAGGGCGCTGATTCAATTTCAAGCAAAAGAGTTAGGAAAGAAAGAATCAAAATTTGATTGAATGTTCCCAACACCGTATTACTCCTTCGGGCTGCACTGTCATGGTATCACTGTAGTAGGAAGTATACAGTGTGCCACGATTCATCTGAATTCTGGAAACTTAGCCGTGACACTTTACCCAGAGAAATTTTCAAGAAACTTTTCAAAATCCGTAGACAAACTCATATGTCGCTGACTTTTTGATTATGATCTTCCTAAGCTTTGTGATACAGTTTTTTGATACTTCTGATACTTCTAGTCAATCGAATACCAATTCATGATATTGGGGACGAACTCAGTGCTCGGGGAAGTGAAGGGGTTCATCTTTATGGTTATTGTTCTAATAATACTAATTTGTCCTATTTTTCAGTCACTTTTAAGCTCCAGCATATATTTGGCTACACTTGTAAGCTTCAACCTAGTGACTCCTTTGGCAAACGGCGGATTTGATGCTTTCTTGAGCAGTACAGTTATACCAATTATCGGTCACAGTACCGGAGGGTAAGCGATTAGATCCACAAAATAGAGAAAATAATAATAAATGTGAAAAACTTCTTAATCGGAAAAGTGTTTAACCTAAATCCGGTCATTTTCGCAATAATTATCAGAGTTTTTTTTCTCTATTTAAAGGAATTGCTATAAACTTGCACCCGGAAGAAAGCCATTTGTTAAGGCTCCATTATATGTAGGTGAGGGCGCCATTAAAAAGCCCTGAATGAAGGGGGAGCTGCTTATCTATGCCAAAAAACAGGATTCAGAATAATCATAACTGGGAGCACTATGGGAAAAGCGGGCTCAGTCATGGAAACTGCTTAGCGGGATAGGGAAGAAGTCCTGCTAGCTAGCCTATAGCCCGGTGGGACGACGACGATAACATTTACAAGAGCTATGAATTTCTAAAGAGTTCATATCGAGAAATTAAAGCCATAGAAGAGGAACGCTAGTCCGAATCAGTACTGATATACCTAGCTCTATATTCAAAATTCCATGAAAAGTTGAAGTTCTTCTCTGGACAGCAGATACGCCTGTGATTCTTCCAAACTATGATTTCGAACTCGAATTTCTCGATTAAATCACTATGACAAAGGGGGAATGCTAGAAGCTCTGAAGGGTTTTCTGACCTTCGTCTCACCTCTGAAAATTTTTTGAGTTGGCGACAGCTATCGCGTTTTTTCGGCTAACAAATGGGGATATGGGATCCGATTAATTTTTAGACATTTCTAGACAGCCTTTGACAAATTTCTTCTGAGTTTTGATTTCAGATTGGTCCTAGTATTCTTCAATCCGGATATTCGGAGGCATCTAGCTCGTGTTCGGGGATGTCTGAAGATTTCCAAGGATGTGTCTGGCATCGCTCCAGAAAGACACCAAATTTTTCACATATCAAATAAGCAAAGAACTTCGAATATTTCTACCATCGGGTATTTCGGGTGACATTTGTAATTACGAATTCAATAAAATTTAAGAATTTCAAGGGCTATGTTTGTTGTTGCATTCTTAAGTCAACGATTTGAATAAATTATTAGAAAACGCTTCAGAAGATCTCCGTCAGATTCTACAATGATAACGCTCTGAATAAAGCTGCCACTGGCTGTCTGAGAATCCCTAACACCGGTTCAAGTCTTCAAGAATAACATGGGACGTACACGTTGTTTTATACTGACAGAAAGGCAACGACACAGAGCGACTCGGCCATTAAATGGCCCTTAATTCATTGTATGGACCAAATACGCATTCAACCAACATACTACAATTCTGGACAGCAGTCGAGTGCCTGAAAGCACCTTAAAAGTGGGTCGATGGACATGAAACTTGTGGTATTGAAATGGAAGATGAATAAGTGGATATTCATCTACTTCTGATGGCTTACAGAAAAGGAAAAGTAAATTCACGACGTTCGACTACGCCATGCAGTCATGATAGCTGTCCATGGTAGACGTAGTTGGATGGGATGTGGCCCTTATCACTCACTCATTTCGCCAGTTACCAAGTTCCCAGTTCCTTTCGACTAATGCAACCTCCAGTCAGGCATATTTTCTTGTTGTTTACTCAATAAAGAAGCCGTAACGTTTTCAAGCGAATTATTGTTGACAGCATTTTCTACATAAAACACCTGCCAACAGGCTAGCAGATGTGAGAGTAATTGGAACCTTCGTGAGAGGCTCTCTGTTCTGAGCCGTTCTGCGTTTTCACAAAATCACTTCCTAATTGAGTATAAATACTTCTTCCACAACATAGATAAACGCTACCGATCAACTAGAAAAGTAAACAATTTCCATGGACTTTCAAGTACTTCACGGCCACACTCTATCACATTCAAGTAGACTTGTTCCGCTTGGTTTGAAAGGTTTTAAAGTAGTTCGAAATAATCTGCGCAATTGTTCATAGAACTTCATATCTCTTTGATTCTCAATCCTCGAGCCTCGCAATAAGAAGCCACTCATTCGAGTACTTTGGCATCTTACCCCGATAACCACCAGACTTTTTCCAAATGCCAAAAGTGGTCAGGCCAAAAATTTTCGTTTTTCTCTTGAATAATTTCGAATTATTGATAAAGTAACCAGCAGCGTTATTCCCATTTCTTTGAACTGACGACGCATGTTTTTATACACCCCCATAACAAATAGCCTCTCCCTTCAAGGTCGAGTACTTCTGCGTATCAGACTCGTATGGGATCTCCGTTTTATGTATCGGTTGGCCTCCGCAAGCCATCAAATCGCTCATATAGGCATTCAAAGCACAACTTCAATTCTGAAGGATGTTCGAAAGCACGGCGCATCCCAAAAACGGGATTAATAGACGCTTAAAGTCCACGTCAAAGATCTCTCACGGGTCGCATTACTCATCAACAACCAGTACACTACTTGCTGGGGGAGAACCAAATGTATTACTAATTCTGAGTACAATTCGACTCAGAACCCATAGATCACTCCCAGATAATGGTAGATGTGTGAAATCATCTGATCTCGAAGTCACTTTCAGTTACAACAAATGAGTAAGTCTTTTGCGTGTCACCAGACCGTGAAAGCACTCCTCAAGAAGAATGAGTCAGCGGATGCATAGTAAGCTCTGAATTAATGAGCTTCAAGCACTCTCTCAGCCTGAACCAGTCGACCACTCCTCCATAAAAGGGTTGGTTTCTTATCCTACTTCCCCACAGAGCAAAAAAAAAACTCAGGTTCTGCTTAGGCTCACGCCTAGCCTATCGACCTGAACCAAACAGGGTATTAAAGCTGAGGTAGGTGGTAATTTCATATGAAAGACACCTACCTTCATCGTATCACATCACATTTTCTTTGATCAACTGATGCATAATCGCTCTTGTAGGTTTCTTAGAAGTAATCAAACACCGATGAGCTTTTCATATCGTTGCAGCATTTGGGTTCAGTGATCACTCAAACTCCACATGACTAATGGGCATAAAAACAATATAATATTTATTTATTATTATAATTTAATATATTATTTTCAGAGTACAATCAGTTGAGGCATTACTAATAACAATCATTCCTATTGCTTATTTTCCCTACAGATACTGTAATAAAGGAAAGGAAGCAACAGATCGAGCGAAAAACGTCCATTTTCAGAAGTCTCTCTTACGATGGAGATAGTGGAAGATTTTGCAGAGCCCTGGATGATTGCCATCATCGAAACAGCGCTTATCGGTTTGGTTAGTTTATTAGAATTAAAAAAGAAACGTCTTGGAACGTTAATCAATCTCGTCTGAGGGATGCGCCAAAGCATTCGACTTCCATTCAAAATCGTAGTGGCATATTGAATGCGTATGTGGCCTATACAGTGACTTGCGGTGGTCAGCCGGTGCATGAGTTAGTGCTTTTATCCTCCCAGACGAGTCTGGTACCAATTAAGCGACCCCAGAGGGATGGAAAGCTTGGTTGGCCAGGGCTGGGAATATCAACCTGGGATTCGAATCCCTGACCGTGGGTGTGTGAGGTGCACCACTTACCACTACACCACCTCCGCCCAGGTACTTTACTTATAGGCATGTATTTTGATTGGCCTCAAAAAAACTGGGGCTTAGGTTTGGGTGCAGTGGCAAGTGGCACACCATCACACGAACATGGTCCATGGTTAAATCTCACATCCAGATCGATTCTTGTCCGAAAAGGCCCGTCTACCCCACTAGGTCGGCTAATTGGTACTGGACCCATTTGAGAGGATAAAAGCACCGACTTGAACATTGGCTGGCCACCGTGGTCAGTCATTGTAGGGCCCAAGGACCTCACCCTCTCCATTTTTCAAAACCTCCGCCAATCACTTTATGAAATCAAATTCCTGGGCATTTACCTCATAGTGTAATGAGTGTCAAAAACTATTTCAGACTTCTGCCTTTGGTTTTCTGTGCAACTTTGTTGCCTTTCTGATCCTTATTCGACACCGAGCATTACGGAACTCGTTCGGTTATCTAGCAGCGTATCGAGCGCTGTCTAATGCTGGTGTTCTTCTAATCCTTTTGCTGTGGGCAACACCATGGACCTTAGTGTACGGTTTTCCCCGTCGTTGGAGACCATAAAGCTTTTGGAAAGAAAAATAGACATTTTCAGGGAAATTCCAACATCAGCTCAGTGGCTTAATCGACTTGCTGGTCAGATTTCCTTACTTTTCATGGAATCATGTTTTCAATGCAGTTTTGTTGTCACGATCAATAGGTATCTTTTGTGTTTCTTTCCGATATCGAAACTTTCTTTACAGACACTTTATATTAGTACTAATATAATTATAACTACTAAAGGCGCAGCTTATAATTTTGGGGCCCTTGCTTTTAAACGAATAATGAAGTGACAGTCCATACAAATGTGGGAGGCGCGAAGAAATTGCGAAAATCTTTGTGGTTCAGAGAAATATAAGGCTTCAAAAAAGTAGTGGAACTATAGGTTGGACGAGAATGTGACGGCAAAAGTTGCGCAAAAGGTTTAGACGAGCTGTCCAAACGTGGGCTTACATACAGGGCCGTTAAAACTCCTCTGTCTTTTGGTTTGTACGTTGACTAATACGGTTCATTACGCCCCATCTCGGATGTTTTTCCACCCAACAGCGTCCTTTGTGCTATCATTTTCTCCTAAAGAGAAATTTCAAAAACATTTTTTATCATGGCCGATGCCTTAACTATACCATACCAATGACCCTACTACTTCAGATTTGTGGCAGTTATCTATCCAACTCTCTATAGGAAAGCATTTAATGAGCTAACTACAGCAGTAATGCTACTACTAACCACAACTCTTTCACTGATTTACTTTAGTATTTATTTCGTAGGTGAGTCGTGATAAATTCATCTCCCAGATGGTAATCTCGCCTGATTTTTACCCATTTAGATGGTTGTAGCTTCTATTACGAGCACAAATCAGATGCATGGACATTTGGCACCGATTCGTGCAGTCAGAGAGTGGCCCTCTACATCGATATGTGCTTCAATATAGCCCTATTCGCTATCAGTTGTGTCATCGATGTGGTAGTATTCATGCGCTTACGATCGTCGACCAAAGTATGTTTTCAGAAATCAGAAATGTTACGAATAGACGAGGAGTTTTTTTCTTCAGAAGTTAATGACAACTTCTGGAACTTATATGGAGCGAGAGAATAAACTGCGGTTGAGGAGGGAAACGCAGCTATTCGCTCAGGTGGAATTTTTTCAGTTATCGAATATATAATAACCAGTTGGGCCGCCCGATTTACGCTGGGCCTCCATTCCTAACATTTATTAATCAGTTAGAAATACCCCCCCCCCCTTAAGTGAAGAAATGTAGAGGATTGTAGGATAGAGCTGGGTTATCCATATCACTGCCTTTATCGTAATCATAAAGTTTGCAGACGGACACACCGACAAACAGACATACCGACATACCGACAGACCGACACACTAAGTTTCTGCTTTATGATAAGAGAGATACGTATATTCCCTACGGAGGACTTTCCGATTGCAGGCTTTTCTTGGGCATGCTTCTCCTTACTTAACTGTAGTCTTATTGGGTCTGTGAAACTTTTTTCATTGTTCCAAAGGAATATTCTATTTTCAGGCTATTCTCAACTCGTTTTTGTATTCATTTATGCTTCTTTGTTTCCATGTAATTGCTCAGTACACGCCTAGCACTTTTGGGCAATTTTTCTTCAAAACACTCATGTGGAGTGTCGCCCACACTGTAGACGGGTAAGAAGTGCCTTCAATAGTACATGAACCATTTTTTCTCGCAGTTACATGAGAAGTTCCTGAACCTACAGGTCCTACATCATAGATTAAAAGGTGCACGGAAGTTTTTTCTTCTGCAGTTAGGTGCCATTCGGATTTTTGTCGCATGAGTTTATATAATAGTTCATATTTGTTGCGTTTTTGTTTGTTTGTTTTCCCCCGCCTATGCACCCCACGGAAAAGCCTGTGTAACAAACAAATAACAAACCTTTCTACTCCATTCAATAGCATCTTTTTCAACGATTATTCAAACCTTGCAAAAAAAGCAAAATCTTGTTAGTTTGGGCAAGTTGATTGTATTTAGTGGATCTATGTACGTCCGATATTTGCATGTACATGAGTTATACCCCACTTGAACACTTGAACTCTGCTTCAATCGCAATCATAGTGAACGATGTTCACTTTTTCAGATTGATCCTCATCTACCTCAACCCCGAGATTAAGCGACATCTCGTGGGTATTCGCCACTTTGTCCAGTTTATCAGAGATCCCATNAGCTCCAACGCTGAGAGAGTAGGACCAGCCTACTCTACCACAATCAAATGAGAAGATGCATTGGCCAGTCATCCGCAGCATCTCAATTACAGCTTACGTTTACTACTTCACTGCACAAACTGATTATATTCTGTGGTCCTTTGGTTAGAGGCAGTAGAAGATCAGTGTCCCCCGGCCTGAAAGTTCCGCCGGATATGTTCAGGACCGACTAGTATCGCCACCGATGTAAACCTATTGATAAATCACGAGCTTGCAAATTCCGTCTAGGGGATAATTAGCTTCGGGCCACACCAACAGTCTACAAAACGATACAAAGTCTCTTAACTGCGATACTCATGCAACATAGACGTCATTACGGATGTTAAGCAGAATAAATGTTATGAGACGTTATCGTTGTATGTCAACAGCATTGTTTATTCACAATTCAATAAAAATTGATTACAGTTGCTCAATACAAACTAATAACGAGGACATAAGTTTGCTTGTCATGATAGAAGCAGCCGTACAAGCTCCGACCAGTGAAAATGTCCCCATTTGTGTACTCTGCCAATCACGTCCGTGCACAAGCCATGTACCAAGCTTTGATAGGAAACAATCTGGATCAAAATCAGTCACTGAGGTCCAACGAAGTTTTCTTGAAGGAGCCGAAATGCACGGTCACTCTATAGAAAACTTCTGCAGAGGGTCTACCAACCTTCAAATTTCGTTCCACGTTTCAAAAATGGATAAATCAGAAGTTCCATTTTACAAATAAATAATTTCGAATTAACGATAATACAAGCGGCAGCGTTTTTCACATTCCTTTTATAGCTCATAATCAAGTATTCAAAAATTTGCGCACTCATAGTTCAGGGACGAAAACCGGTCTCGACACCCGCCAACTAAGTCTTCCATCCCTCCATGGTCGAGTAACTGGTGTTACACTGGCTGGGAGGATAAAAGCACAAATTTTGTTCGTCGGTTGGCCTCCGGAAACAATGTTGCGGTCACATAGACAATCAAAGCAGCACTACAAGTCGAAGGAAAGTTGTATGCATGGCGGAAAAAGGTGAATGTTCAATGCTGAACGGCTTCATGCTCCTTTTTTTTAGTTGCATAAGAGCACCAATTATACGACAAAGATCTTCCCTCATGCGTCGCACTACACATCGACGATCAGTAGTGCATTACTTGTTGCTAGAGAACAAAATGCATTTTTAATTCTAAGTACAATTCGACTCACGACCCATAGATCACTCCCAGATGACGGGAGGTGTGGGAGATCCTAGCAGATTGACTGAGTTCTTCATCGACTATAAGAGCACCAATTATACGACAAAGATCTTCCCTCATGCGTCGCACTACACATCGACGATCAGTAGTGCATTACTTGTTGCTAGAGAACAAAATGCATTTTTAATTCTAAGTACAATTCGACTCACGACCCATAGATCACTCCCAGATGACGGGAGGTGTGGGAGATCCAAGAAGATTGACTGAGTTCTTCATCGCCTGAATAACTCTGAAAAAAACCCAATAAATTAACAAGTAGAAAACAATCAAGAGATAAACACTCATTGTGTTCCGAAGATTGCCGTCACAGTCTCTATTGTCATATTGTGATCCCGGAGCCATATAAGCAGTGATATTTTAAGTCTGTAGAACATGGTAGGCTGATTCTACTTGTTGGCATTTCCTGGGCTAAGACCAAAAAAATTACAAAAATTTCTGTTTCTTAGTGGACCACATTGTCTCC